CTTAAGCCTTTGACAAAGACAAATTTTTTAGTATTACCTACGACGCAAAACACGACATGACGGAAAGCACTTTTGACCACAAAGTCGGATTGCAACGTGGCAAGTGGCCAGTGTCCACCAACTTCCTTGGTTCTGTTCCACTTAGCTAGGTCTTTTCTTTTCCACTTTTTTATTTTCGGCCAGGACATGATGCCGTATTAGTATTAGTAAGTATTAGATTCGACGAGTCGTCGTTGCATGTAAATTGTTGCAGCCCTGACACTATCAATTCCAAGCCCGAGAGGCCAAACTCGCGACATCCATCATTACAGCTTAAAAAGATAAAAGGACCATAGCTGAGCTATGGATTCGGTCCTTCTGGGTTTATCGAATCATCAACGTGACTCCTTTGTCACTTCTACTTTTATACACTGCAATTTTGATCTGGCTACGCAACATTTCATCTATACTTACTAAATCTTTTATCTTTACCTAAATACCAATTTGATTGGACATCATAGAGTCCATACCCGAGCTTTCAGTCTGAAATATATGGGCGACTGAACTTTACGTAGACGATCAGTAATTATCGCCTCAACTTGTTCTGGTTGATGTTTCCCTTTCATTGATTCTTTGTTTCTGTTTTTCTTCGTTTGCCAAAAAAGTCCTGAAGAAAAGGGCCGTCCTTGATTACGATTGTGTATGGTGGGTCTTTGCTTGTTGAAAAGTTGGAAACAATTCCGTACCCCACCTTCCCAGATGAATATATAATATTTTAAAACGAACAGGGTTTTCTTTTATGTTTAAGTTTTTGAAGTTGGAACCTAAAAAGCAGGGAAAAAATGAATGGAAATGAAGATGCAAGGAAAATGGAGATGGATGAGAGACAAATGAGGCTGGTCACTCTCCTTTGAATGCTCAACTTCTTCCACTACCCTTTTGTCTTTTCTTAGACCAAATCCCACGCTTTCTTAGATCTCTCATCTCTCCTTCTGTCCTTCACTTCACTCCATTTTTGGTTATTCCCCAAAAAAATTTCAAAAAGAGATAAAAACCCACAAGGATTCTACGTAAACACATGTTATCCAGTCCACTACTTATTTTCTTGGTAGCATCATTTTTCTTTTATAAAAAAATAACAACAGTCTCCGACTCCTGTAATGGCGGAAATCTTATACTTTCCTCTTTCATGGTATTCCATTATTATAACCATCTTTCTGCGCCAATGTCTACCTGCTTTTTCTTAGCTACTTAATTGGTCCTTCTTTTCTTACTTTATTAGCTTTTTCCTTTTTTTTTTCTATCTATTTATTTATATGTTCCGGCTACACTTTTTACAGATACCGTCCTATTTGGAGTGTGTGAAAGTCTCAATAGAGCCAGATCACCTTCTTCAGGTATTTTCCTGTTTCTTTTTTGGGTACCAAAATTTCTTCTTTTCTCAAAACAAAAAGAACAAGGTGAGTTTTTTTTCGCTGCTGCCATGTATGTTTAATGCTGAATATCTCCCAAAGGCAGGGTTTTGTTTCTTTTTAATATGTTGTGAATGATGAAAACGATAACTCCAGAGAAAAGGTTATGCAAAGTTCATTTCTTGTAAGAAGTTTGCAAGTTTCTAAAAGGACTTCTGTGCTCCATGATTTCCCTTTTTTTTTTTCCTTTTAGTGGATCTGATGCTGTGTTCTGTTAGCACTTGGGTTATTAGACTTCTTTTGGTAAATCATTTTCATGGGAGTTGAGATGCTTGTTTTTTAGTGCCTTTCCTTTTCAAGTTCTTTAATATACGGTAAAAATCATAATATTGGTGCCTGGATTCCCTTAAAGGCGCTTCAATTCTTATGCTCTTCTCTGTCTTTCCACTGTTTGTTCTGTCTAGTCACCTTATTCTTGTCAACTGGACGGCTTTAGAGTCCTTGGTTAATTTTTGTTATATTCAGTTTAGTTTATGAATCTTTACAATTACCTGCGTGAAGTCCATCATATGTTCACTTATGGATGATCCACATGTTTTCTGACTTCTTTGGACAAATTAGGTCCACCCTTTCTGCCTGACTGGCCCCTTGTTTGCTCTTTTCTAAAAATAATTGACTATAGAATGAAACTATTTTTTTTAATTTTTTGGACAAATTTCCCCTTGCAGCTACTTGTGGTATCTTTCCTTCTTTTCTACAAAGGAAAGCTATGATGACATCCTATAAGAGAAATGTGAGCTGATATTTTTGTTTATCACTTTGTGGTATGTTTCGATTCTAACCTTTCTTTCATCTTTTTGTATATTAGCTTGTCATGAGATAATTGCAGTAGATCGATATGGCCAAAGAGTACAGTGGATCGCCAAAGCATCATCAGCTAGAAGCCAAGAGGAAACGTCTCACTTGGATACTAGGGGTTAGTGGCCTCTGCATATTGTTTTACGTGTTGGGAGCTTGGCAGAATAGTACTACTCCCACCACTGGATCCGATGTATACAGTAAAGTTGGTTGTGACGGTAATGCCACTACATCAGGCGATGGCAATTCCCCAGTTAATCCATCATCAACCAACTTGGACTTTGCAAGCCATCATCAAGTTGAGGTAGACAGTTCTAAAACAGTCAGTCAGTTTCCACCATGTGATATGTCATTCAGCGAGTACACTCCCTGCCAAGATAAAGTGAGGGGAAGGAAATTTGATCGGGACATGTTGAAATATAGAGAGCGGCATTGTCCCACGAAGGAAGAACTCCTCCTCTGCCTTATACCTGCTCCACCCAAATATAAGACCCCTTTCAAATGGCCTCAGAGCCGAGATTATGCCTGGTATGACAATATTCCTCATAGAGAACTCAGTATTGAGAAGGCAATTCAGAATTGGATTCAAGTAGAGGGTGATCGTTTCAGATTCCCTGGGGGAGGCACCATGTTCCCTCGGGGAGCTGATGCGTATATTGATGACATTGGCCAGCTCATTCCCCTTACTGATGGAACCATTAGAACAGCAGTTGATACTGGCTGCGGGGTAAGCAATGAACATCCTTTTTGACAATTTATTTGCTTGCATTTTTTTCCATCCTTTAGAATTTGTTGCTATCTAATTGGTTTATAAATTTTTTAAAATCAAGAATTGTTTTTGATTCTTGTGCAATACAATGGCATATCTACTTTTGGTCTATGTTAGTAACAGTTACTCCAATTGTCTACTAATTGCCTTTGCTACTTCTTTTCTTCTTTACTTCTTTTCTCTGGTGTTAGGTTGCAAGTTTTGGTGCTTACCTCTTGAAGAGGAATGTCTTGACAATGTCTATTGCTCCAAGAGATACACATGAAGCACAGGTTCAATTTGCATTGGAACGTGGAGTTCCTGCAATGATTGGAATCATGGGTTCACAGAGGCTTCCTTACCCAGCCAGGGCTTTTGACTTGGCTCATTGCTCTCGCTGTTTGATACCTTGGCAAAAGTACGGTAAGGCATCTCTATATCTCTAGCTATTTTGTCAAAAATAAGAAGATGACTCAATAAGGAAGGGGGAAATGACCCTTTTTCTATGTGACAACAGCTAGGCATCATATGACCCTATTACTACTTTCTATCTCATTCTTCTACAGGTCCAAAAGTTGTGTATTAGCTAATGGTTTCCTTTATTTGGTATAGATGGTTTGTATCTCACTGAAGTGGACCGGATTCTAAGGCCTGGTGGTTATTGGGTTCTCTCTGGTCCTCCTATTCACTGGAAGAAATACTGGAGAGGCTGGGAAAGGACACAGGAGGACTTAAAACAAGAGCAAGATGCTATTGAAGATGTTGCCAAACGACTATGCTGGAAGAAAGTGGTTGAAAATAATGATCTATCAGTTTGGCAAAAGCCAATCAACCACATTGAGTGTATTAAAAGTAAAAGGGTCATTAAAACGCCGCACATATGCAAATCAGACAATCCAGACACAGCTTGGTACTCTCTTTAGTGCTTTAATGCTCTTATATCCTCCTTTGACACACAGACATAAAAAACCTTTTGTGGTCTCATTTTTCTTGTCAATTTGCGCTAAAAAGGTACAGAGATTTGGAAGCTTGCATAACCCCACTTCCAGAGGTAAGCAGCTCAGATGATGTTGCTGGTGGCCCAGTAGAAAAATGGCCGAAGCGTGCATTTGCTGTCCCTCCTAGAATTAGCAGTGGTTCAATACCAGGCATCACTGCTGAGAAATTTCAGGAGGATAATGAACTGTGGAACGATAGAGTGGAACATTACAAACGGATTATTAGTCTCCTACCCACTGGACGATATCGGAATATAATGGACATGAATGCTTACCTTGGGGGATTTGCGGCAGCATTGTCAAAGTATCCAGTGTGGGTCATGAATGTGGTCCCTGCAAATTCAGATCATAACACGTTGGGAGTTATTTACGAACGAGGTTTAATTGGTACGTATCAGGACTGGTGTGAGGCATTATCAACATATCCAAGAACATACGATCTCATCCATGCTAGTGGCTTGTTTAGTATATACCAGGACAGGTAATATTTGAGAGGATGTATTCTCAATCATGAACTATCTTTGATCTTGTAATTTGTAATTGTGGTTGAACGTGTTTTAATTTGTATATTGAAGGTGTGACATCACTTACATCTTGCTGGAGATGGACCGAATTCTGAGGCCAGAAGGGACGGTTATTTTTAGGGACACAGTGGAGCTGCTTGTGAAGATTAAGAGTATAACAGATGGAATGAGATGGAAGAGCCAGATCATGGACCATGAAAGCGGACCATTCAATCCTGAGAAAATTCTTGTTGCTGTCAAAACATACTGGACTGGTGAAGCTACAGAAAAACAAAGCTAGTAGAGATCCATAGTCTCTCTCTCTCTCTCTCTTTGCACCTTCTTTGTCTCATTTTTATTCTTGGAAAATAGTTAAAATCACTGAGATTCCACCCAAGATAATTTTTCCTTTTCAAAGAGGTAAAGGGTAGGACTTCTTACAATGGTTGTGTAGTTTATTAATGTACTGTAAAAGTAAGTATTTTTACTCCAAATCACTCTGTTACTGTCTTTGTTTCCATGGTAGGAGGATTTGCTAAACAGATATGCTCACTGTCTGTATTAACTGAGAATTAAGCCCTTGCCTCCTCAGTTGTTGAATTTCTGATCATGTATATATGGCAAAGATTGATAAGGTAAATCACCGTAGGGATAGAGATAATTGTTAAAGGCTCCGCGATTGCTAGAATGGCGCTTTGAATATTTCATTGCAGCATATTATTTGGATCTTCGATGCTAATGGTGGTTGAACTTGGATGTTAGTTAAGACTTTCCAGTTTCCCCGATACAATGTTTGGTTTTGTGATTGTTCTGATTCGGATGATTCTTTCTTAGTTTTAGGCTGTTGATTATTGAATACTGGTGTAAATACATAAGTTGTACCATATAAAGGAAATTAGTGAATACAACTTTGATATGATACCTAACAAAATGATTGGCAGACGACGAGGTTGGGAATCCTCGCTTTGCGTGAGCAACCTCGTATTGACTAAAATTCCGGGTGGTTGACAGTGGGAAGAGTGAGGTTGAAGTTGTCAGATATCTTTCAAAGTTGCTAACCGCAATAGACCGTGGCAAACTCCGAACAGGGAGGCTACGCACCATCATTTGTTCATGGTTAAGGCTAGCTAGGTTTCCAGGAGTGGCTAGGTTCCGTATAGTATGGGATAGAGGTCCTCCATCTGTAGAATGATGGTAATCGAGCAATGTTGCTTGTGGACAGGCAGGAAAAAAAGGGATGCATTGAGCTTTGCTTCTTTTGGTAGTTGCTGTGGAAAGTAAACCACCGGGGAGTGAGATAGCTGCTCTACCATTCATCACAATCATCACCATTTTGCTTGATCAGGGAGACCAAAGAAGAGAAAGGGATGAAAGTTAAGAAGGAAGAGCCATGTTTTAAGTTGATTAAAGAGTGAGAAGAATATTTTTTTCATCTTAAAATAGTAGATCCAATTAGAACCAATAGAGGAGAATAATACCAAAGTCTACAAGTTTGGGCCCCCTCATACCCACGAAGTTGTGTCCAGTCTGCTCCCCTGTTGTCATCGAGTTCAATTAATTGAGCAGACGGCTAAACCCTGTGCTGTTTAAACCAAGTCTGCGGCAACAATGCTATTCCAACTTGGACCTTAAATTTATACCTATATATTAGTTTGGTTTTATTAGTACCTAAAAAAAAAAAATGAAAATCTTATAATCCGCTGAGCCAAAGAAAATGGAAGCAAAACTGATTAGGCAAAACCCAAAAGAAAAAAGGAATTGCAAATTTGTGGCAAGCTAGAAGGATATAGAGCAAAAAAAACTGTACTAGCAGCAATATGAAAACAGAAAATATTCTATACTCGAACAGCATATATTTGTATATTAACGTTTTGGCACGTGAAACCATGGAAAGTTTGGGTGGATTTTCTTTTGGTCAACAAGACAGACTACTAATAATCTAATACAATACTACAAACACTAGGCCAAAAGCATTTTCATTCATATAATCACATACCTGTATTGGGTTTTTATTGGGGAGGGGGACGCATAATGTTTTTACAAAAACAGTAAATTAAAAGAATAAGTTTGTGTTGCGTGGGAGTGTGGGATAAAAGAGAAAAAGAGGGGGCATCAGAGTCCACATAATAAAAGCGGAGAGGAGAAGAGAAGGGAAGGGAACTCTTGGGTTCTTCGCCTTCCTCCACCACCCCTCACTACCAGAAAATTAAATTTCCAAAAAGACAAGGAAAGCACACCTCCCCTTTCTTTGTACCTTTGAACTATAAACACTGTTTTTTTTTAATTTTATTCTTCCTTTTGTCTTCCACAATAAAACTACAACAATCAAACAAACCCAAAAAAAAAAAAGAAACTGAAGCTGAGATATCTTATCAAAGTAGAGTAGTAGCATCCAACAGTCATTTCTTATTCATTAGAGAAAAAATAAAGGAGAAATCTTATTCAAAAAATCTAAGGAGAACATGGAGGCGGTGGATGAATCCGCGAAGAAAGTCGAAGAGGAAGTTGGGAGAGTGGTGGAGCAAGCCAGAGAGTTGCAAGAATCCGGCGCTTCGCTCATATCGAGGATATCGAACGAGGAGCAATCTCTCCGCCAAAAGGCTAATTCTCTTGAATCCTCCATTCGCCGCCTCCGTTCCTTGATCAATTCCCTTCTCTCTCAAAAGCTTTTGGATCCCAAGCTCGCCGACAAGGCAAGTCCCTATCTTGCATGTCCCCTTTTCATTTTTAATTTCTCGTAATTGTTTCTTCATTTATGAAATCTTAAGAGAAAAAAATACAAAATTGGATTCGAAACAGCTTGAAGAGGATTTACTGAGAGCCAGATTTATTATAACCGATGGAGACGCCGCTGCTTTTCTTCCTGCCAAAGCTCAGGGTAGAATAATTTCTTCTCTTTTCTTTTACATTGAAGTAAATTAATTTTCCTATTATTGGAGATATTAATTAATTAATAAATTGCAATTGGTAATTGCAGGAAGATTCCTGAGGATGTTTTTGGGACCAATCAATGTGCGTGCATCCCGCAAAGACGTCCAATTGAAAGTTAAGGAGGAATATAACAGCTACAGAGTAAGCATCACTTCGCCTTTAACCCTTTCTCTTTTTTTTTCTTAATTTTATTCTTTGCTTGTCTTTTGATTGGGATCCGAACATGTTCTTCAGTTTAACAATTGCATGTCATTTCCCGCATATAGAAATTCAGCCCAATATGCACATGCAGGCTCATTTTACATTTCAGTTACCTCCGACTATGATATATTTACACATCCCAAATTAGTAGTAGAATTGTTTCGGATTCCTGAGTTCTTGGTGAATTATTTCTAGAAAGCTAAAAGGGAAAATTTGAAATTTCAGTATTTATACTTACTAATTACTATCTCCCTTCAACAGGATAGAACTGCATTTCTGTTTCTTCTTTTTCCGTTAACTTTGCTTATTTTAAGATCTTGGATCTGGGAAGGATGCTTGCCTGCATTTCCAGTTCAGTTGTACCAGGTATTAAGTGAATTATTTCTTAGGGTTTTGTTTGGGTTCAGTTCTCTTGTTGCTGATGCAATTCAGAGTTTGTGATATAATGCTGCATGTATGCTATGTCAGGCATGGTTGCTGTTCCTTTACACTGGTTTGGCTTTGCGAGAAAACATATTGCAAGCAAATGGAAGTGATATTCGTCCATGGTAATTGCATGCCATCTTTTTTTAAAATGTTTCCTCAAAGCAAGCTTTTTTACTTTCTAGTATTGTTTGTATAAATTGGACTTCGTCATCAAAGATGAGATTGTGATATGGGTACTTCTGACATCAAAATATCTTTTAAGTTTGTTTAAGTTCATGCAAATTGTGACTTATGGCCAAGATCATAGTGGAAGAAATGCTCATTCTCCTATCAATCAGATGGCTTCTCTCATTTCTGTTCCACTTTTACGGGTCACTACTTGCTTTTAAATTATGTCTTTTGTGGGTTAGGATGTAATGCTTACAAAGGCACAATGTTGGTGAGAATTCAGAAACTGGTCTCCTGGTGTATATTTATACACGAAAGATTAATTATCCTTTTTCCCTACTGTAATTTTCTTCTGGCGTAATAATCATGTTAATAGTTTTCTCCTACATTGAAATTGATGAACTTGTGTGATCGTTTAGGACTACTTCGATGAGCTAGTTCACTCTATGTAGTGCTTGCTTGTAGTTGGGTGGTTGGAGAAGAAGTAGAAGTGAGTGAGTAAGATACTTTGGAAAAGATTTTCTATCTTCTCATTATAATACTTGAGTTGATGTTTCTTTTAGTTTTGACAGCTGGAATACATCCTCATGGTGTTTCAGTTAGGGCATAGGAAGAAAATGGTGTCTATGTCTTGTTAAATCTCTCCTTTTGATTACATCATCAGAATCATTTTATGTACCAGTTGTAACCATTGTCTTGTGCTATAGATGGTTTATTTATATGTAACCCCTTCCCGAGTGAAGTCAAACGTTTAGACCTTCCAATAAAAAATTGGTTCTGGATTATTGCTCACAGTTTAATTCCTGAAACAGTCTCTTATTGCATTTTGTTTAAACCTCTTGATTTCTTGGGTTGCCTACATTGCCAAATTTGTGTGAGAGAGAGAGTAGAGATGGACTTGCTTGTGATTATATACTTGCATTGTACTGGGTTATTGTTCAGTGAGTTACATTATTTACAACTTCAACCTGTCAAAATCAGTTGCACTCATTTGACATAAAGATGGGCAGGGAAAGAAGTTTGTATTCTTTTCTCCTGAACATCTCATCCGGGTTATTGAAATTGTTTGAAATCATTTAGCAAGCTGTGTTTATGGCTATGAAGCCCCTAGAATCTTGTGGAATCTCCTTTTTTATTATTATGTGTTGATGATTTTGTCGAAACAGCTTATCTAGTCTAGTTTTATTATTTATTCAGCTTTGTTTGGAAATATATTGCTAGATTGTGGCCTGCAACAACCTAGGAGAACAAGTATTGTCTATGTTATGAAACACTCATGTTAATTAATTATCAATTCTAAAACTTGTAATGCTGATTGTCAGTGTTTGTCTGTAGTTTGTGTTTTTGTGCATCCTATTTTTCTGGTTAGTCTTGCAACATCAAGTGATGACTAAAAGATACTTTTGCAGGTGGATTTACCATCACTATTGTGCTATGGTTATGGCTTTAGTTAGTCTCACTTGGGAGATTAAAGGACAGCCTAATTGTGCTCAAAAGCAGGTCACTTTTCTAGGTTTGTGCGTTAATGATGTTCTGTGTTATTGATTAACAAACCAGTAAATCTTGTGCAGAGAGGTGTAGAACTTTTCCTTCAGTGGGCTATGATGCAAGGAGTTGCCATGCTTCTACAAAATAGATATCAGCGCCAGAGGCTTTATACTCGTATTGCCCTGGGAAAGGTGTTGTTCCTCTTTCTGCATCAGATAATAAAATTTGTTTTGCTGAGCAAAAAAATAATAATAATAAAATTCGTTTCCTTTGTTCAATGTTAATCATTTTTGCATACTAGCTATAACCTTGGTTTGCAACCCCTTTTGTTCTTTTGCATCTCCCTTACATGTTACAAAAATGTCAAAATCGTACTATTTTTCTGCCAGGAGCAGTAGCTATTATGCCTCCATTTCATATCCGTACAATAATAGGGGACCAGTTCTAAATTCTAATCATTAATGCATTATTATTTTCAGGCTAATAGAATGGATGTTGTCTGGGGAGAAACAGCTGGTGTAGATGGACAATTGTGGGTTCTATGTCCGATACTTTTCCTTTTGCAGGTAATGCAGGCTAACTTTTGATGAATGCTTGCTCAGAATGTGTGTGACAATGTCCCATTTATGTTGTTCTTTACCCCCAAGGGTTTAAGACCTCCAGTTCAAACTAAAAATTTCTAAATGATTTACTCCAGTTCAAGTCAGCAAAGAAGAAAATCTTTTGTTGCTATCAATTTCTTATTTACCTTTGAACTTGCACACCCTATGTTGGCTAATTGTTTATTTAACTTCTTTGAAGTGCCTGCACAGCTTTTTAAGGAGAATGTTTTAGCCTTTAGGTATTCTGTAAATGTTTAATTTTAGTTTTCAATTGATATAAATCTTAAAATAATTACATCCTGAAGGTTGTGTGAGTGCTTCTTTAGGGTTGAACTCGCCTGTCATAACTGCTTGGATAATAACAACGGGTATAGATTATGACCAAGATCTTGCCGAAAATCTCAGTTGGTGGTTACATGCACGAAGTAGTTTTTCATTTTTTGTTGGTTGTCTCAAGTTATGTCTTTTTGCTCTTTTTCTCCTGCTGAGCATGAAGGGTACTAATATCCTTTTTCTTCTTTCCCTTTATTTTTCCTCCCTCAAAACGAAAAGGGAAAAAGATTGATGTAGCATGCCTTTTTATCATTGGAGCATGTGTTTATTCATGAGATATTTTCTTCTGAAGTTTCTCCACAATTAATTGCAATTAACCGTATCATATTCTTGTGTGCTTATGAACATGATTATAGGGTTTTGAGGCATATGTTGGACTACTATTGCTCAAGACAGCATTCGTTGGGGTTGTTTCTGAATGGCAGGTAGGCTTTGACTGGTTACAGTTTCTCTTTTTGTTCATATATGCAGTAAAAAAGGTTCAAATTAATGTTGTATATATTTTGGAAATAATGCTTAGTGATGGAGAGCTGGGTTTTGGCAGGTAATATTTTGTGGGATCCTTTTGGTTTTGATGGCTGTTGGGAACTTTATGAACACAGTACAGACACTCATGGCAAAGTCAAGGTTTAAGGCAAAGATGAAAAGAACTAAGAGCAAGCAGGAGTTGGATTACGTTGTTCGTAATTCTTAGGTCACATCTTACATAGCTTATTAGTCTCATTTTTTAATGTTTCCAGTGTCCCAAAGATGTTTTGTCTTGGATGAGGCAATGATAATTTCTTTTTAAGATTTTCGTTTTCACCTTTCATATGTAATTACTGTTGGTTTTGTTTTTCTTTGTCTTCACCATTAATCAAACTGAAGAGAACTGTACAGTTGAATGGTAACAAGCAAATGCCCAATATTTCTAGGCCTCTCCCAGCTTTACCTAGAGCAGCGGGGGATTCTCAATCTGGAAGCTTTTGTGGGTTGGTATATTCATTGCGAGGTCCAAAGACTTTACCTTATTAGTGGGCTGCTTTCATTTCCTGGTTGGCCCTGAATTCTTACACCATCTTGTCATCCTTAGCGCTGGCTTCTGTTCTAAATTAAGCAACGGGTTTCATTTCGCCATTAATTACTTTCTCAATGACTTCTGAACTAAAAAGTTAAAGCTTGAAAAAAGGATCTCTTAAGCTTAAGGGAAATGTTAAACCGGGCTTATTGGTATTAAGTAAAGTGATTTTCATATTAAAAAAATTGTAATTAATATATTATTTTGTTCTTGATCTATCATTTGGGTTAAGCTATATATTCTAGTACGTATTTGCATTGGATCATGTTAAGTTTGCACTATCATCTTGATTTTCTAGCAATGACTCGGTACTTTAAAAGCTGTGTTACATGTCACTGTTCCATAATTGAACGTTTCATCATATTCGTCGGGAGTATTGTGCTCGTATACGTAATTGATACATTAATTATACAACTGTAAGAGGTGGGGCAACTCGACTGCCTACACATACACTTCGGCTGTCCACTACTCTTTGGTAGTATTAACTAAAGAAAAGTGTAGTACCATATCTTTTTCATCTTTAATTTTTATGGAAAGGAATATTTGAACTTGGATAATACTATCTGCTTTCGAACCTGTATTTATGTACATATTAATCTCAATGATTACTTGATGCGTGTAAAGGAAATAGAGAGTTTACAATCTAAACATTAATCAAATAACAATAATAATAATAATACCCATTTTTAAAGAAGAAAACAGAGTTTTGTGAGCTAAGACAGCCTGCTAAATACTAGTAAAGAAAAGAAAGATTGATGCTATAATTGAAAGGCTCTTTCCCACAACGCACTGGCGCACATGTCCACGTTCAATTGTCTATCCATGTGCTAAGTAATCCAGTAATGAAGAAAATATGTTTTCTTTTGATTCCAAAGTAAAGCAAAGTGAAGAATGGGATAAGTGGGATGGGTGGATTTATGTGTCCTTTTGATCACATGTATATATGTATATCTTTCTTCCCCTCCCCTTTTCACAACTTAAAATGCTTGGGGAACAGGTGAAAGTTTTTGTACACCACAGCACGTTGGGGCCATCCCCTTAATTATATGTGTAAAATCCTGTCACCAACCCAAGGCCACCCTTTCCCAATTCCCACCCCCCATGTGCTGCTGCACCTGTTTTACTTGTATAGTTTTTATCATCGATATGAATTCATGATGTATTCTTATCCCCATTATTATCACCAAAAGATCATAACAATAGTATTCCTTTACGAGTCCTAGACACATACGCGTATGCACATAATAATAACATACAAAACAGCACATTGAAGGATAAGTACTTCAACTTGTGGATAAAGATATAGGGAAATGAACAACAGGCATATGCCCAATAAAAGAAAGGATATACAACATAGGCAGCAAAGCAAGAGAAACAAGTGGGGAAGTCCTGGGGTGGCTGGAGAAGGCCAGGGTGGTAGTAAAATAACATGCACATGGGTGGGCCAAGTCAGGGGTTTGAATGATCAAATTGTGTACATCATCTTTCTTTTTGGGTGAGAGATCAGATCTCTTGTCCTCTTTGATCTTTGATAGATACATGGAAGGAAGCGGGAAGAGAGGAATTGCCACTGCAGATTAAGAGAACCCACGCACGTCGTTGCTAGTTGGCAAAGATGAAATCGCGAGTGGAATTATGGGAGACCTCTGTGCCATGCGTAATCGCTGCTACTTGTCAATAGGCATAGCCCATAATTACACGAATTTATATGTGGCTCTTGTTTCTTTCCTTTTTTTTCTTTTTCTTATTGCTTGCCAATATTAGCGCACAGATTTAAATCTCATAACAATATAGTCTTCATTTACCACTAATTAAAGCCTTTTTTGTGAAATTTTATATGTATACACGATGAGATATATGTGATCCAAATGCTTCGACAGCTTCTACCCCAAAAACCAATTTTGACAACTAATAAAGAATATATCTTTTTCTTGACAGATGTATATATTATATGGTCGAAAAAGTAGATCCAACGGGTATAAATCACTAGAAAAGTGTCGCTTTTTGTTATACTTCTATCATGTTATAATTGTACAACGAATTTTTCTTCACGGTCCACTCGGCCCTGGCCCCGCCGCCTGGATCCCCTGATTTTTATTATTAGTAATTGTAGTTGAGTTAGCTCATGTTTCTTTCAGTTCGTTGCGTTTGTCTACTTGTAGTGTAAATCATCTTTTTTTATTCATTAATATTTACTGTTTTTTTTATTTGTTTGTTTTACAGTTTATAGCAGTCAACATCAATTGGATGACGTCTTCATTTGCTAAAACGGACGGGAAAAGTAAGACGTTTACATTACTGATCTATTAACTGACAGTTTTTGAAGGAACAAAAACTTAGAGACTTTTTAAGGCTAGGTTAGTGTGCCTACGGGCGTAGAGCCCCGCGGAACCACAGATCAGTGAATGTCTTGCTTTATGACCTCCAACGGAAAATGATGTGTTGCTTTAAAGGAAGATTCAACAGCACATAAATTTGTAGACAGGCACATTATTACTAAACAGTAGCAGAAATGACAAGGTCGCAACTGGCAACCAGTCAGTGAACTCAAGGCCACCAAGGCAAGAACGACACTTGACGCAACCAATTAAGGCTAGTAGTAATGATAATGCTAATATAATAAAGAAAGAAAAGAGGAGGGTGAAGGGGATGGGTGGAAACGACCAAGGCCCTTTCCCCTATATTTCTCCCTACCAAACAGGTTGCATCAATACTTGTTGCTTGAGATTCTGAACTGAGACTAAACCCTAGAAAGAATGATGACAAAAGACAATAATAACTGATCACAAAGTTAAAAGGGGAAGAATAGGGAGTGAACAAGTCAGTACACAGGTCATAAGCAAAGGAGTAAAATTTCTAAGGAAAACCTGATATTCATTTGATTCCTTAATTTAAACCAAGCAAGTAAGAGAGAACGCAAAAACTGATCAAGGAAAAAATTTTGACACATAAAACAATATCTGCTTCTCCTTCTTACACCATATACGCTCTCTATACTCCATTGGTCCATGTTTCTTGCACTCTTTATCTCTTCCTCTCTATGCTTTGTTTGTTTTCTTTCTGTCCTTTGACGCTGCTGCTGGCATAGGCAAGCTTATTTTCTCTGTCTCAATTCAATCTCTCTTCCGTTTACCTTCGAAACGGAATTCCTTATTCATCAACAAATCAATAAATCGAAAAGAAGTGACGATAAAATGCAAGTGGGACTGCCATCGAAGAGTCTGTTTCAGACTTTAAGTATCAGCGAAGCTATTTTGAAGAAGAAGAAGAAAGGAGAAAACAATGAGGATATGAAGAAAACGATACTGAATTATTGGAGGTTGAAAGGAAGGCTATGGTAAGGACTAAGAAGTGGAAATAGGAGGAGATACAAAATGAAGAAATAAGGAAAGCTTTTGATGCTAGAAGGCTTTTCAACTCAAATTGTTAGGTATTTTGTTGAGCTTCTGCACACATAGGTACATATGGTACATTTTCAGTGGTCGAGCTGCCAAGATTATTGAACCATGGCCAGAAAGGAGGGAGCCCCATTCCCTCCTCCATTGGGAGTGCTTGCATTCTGCCTTTGATATTCTATTTTATAAGCCATCTTTCGCTCTTCTTCCAATTCGTCATCATCTTCATCATCTTCGTCTTCATCTTCATCTTCCTCGTGATCCATATTATCACTGTCAGGTTCATCAATCTTACCATAGCCATCCACCAACAAGGATTGTCCTTGATGGTGCACCCCCTGCTCCTCCATCAGCTCCATCACAATGTCTTCTGGCTTCAATACCAACCGCCAAGAATCAATAGGCATCATATAAAATGGTTTATCAAAATGCAATGGGTAATTGAAAATGTCAAAGTGATGGTATATTGAGGCATAAAGAAAATCAAGAAGCTGGTAAGTAAAATAAATTACCTTCTTTGCAGCTCCACCGTTTCCTTCTCCAAAGAAACTCCCAGGTAAACCTTCTTTTCTTGTCAGCACATCAGCAGTATCTCCAGTTTTGTTTTCCGATTGATCAGTAGGCTGCGTCGATTGCGGCGCTGCCGTGATTGGTGGGGCGTCACTCGTATCTTGATGCTGCTGTGACGTTTCTTCTTCAGGCCTATTCTGGTCACTAAGGCTACTGGAACCACCGCTAGTCCCTCCTCCAAGCATTTTCTTACGGTAAAGGGCATCGAGTTGGTGAAAATAGGGGCAGGTTTTGGCATCCTCGGGACGTTTCTTATTACTTTCTTTGACCTTCTTGAAGTACTTGTTGATGTTCTCCCATTTTTCCTTGCATCGCTTGGCGCTTCTCTTGTAGCCCATCCTTGACATACCAGCGGAGATCTCCTCCCAAAGAGGGCCTTTCGGCCCAGCCTCTTGGTACCTGGATTCAAGCCCACTCCTCAGGTTTATAAGTGCAAAAACTTCAGCTTTAGGCCATCTAGACGAGGCAGGCTCCAAGCTCCCACTCCCACCAATCTCCTGTGGGGGGACCTGTTGCTCCGGGATAGCCATTACTACATCTGAAGAAATAGGTTGTTGATGATGCCTCACAATTTCAGTATTTTGAGGTTGAGCTTGATGCTGCTGCTGGTGAACAGCTTGTGGCTGTTGCTGATGTTGATGGTGCGGCTGTACTGACTGTTGCTGCTGTTGAGAGCTACGCTGTTGTTGTTGTTGTGGTAATGACGGTGGATGATGCAATGGTGAAGCTGATATAGGAATAGAAGCCGGAGGTGGAACAACTGGCACGGCTGGTTGTGTCGGTGGAGGTGGAGCAGCGGAGACAGTGACAGTTGTGGGTAACTGTACAGTCTGACCAGTAATCTTTTGCAAAAAAGAAATAATAGCAGCATCCCTAGAAGCAGCA